CTGGAAACCTAACAACTTATTTTTCCTGATAAGAGGTTTACCTTGGAAAATGTAAAATTGTTCCACTTCCTTCTCTTTTAATACATATCAGTTTTGTCTTAGTGTTCAATTGCTATGAAGAGACATTATGACGATAGCAACACTTAGAAAAGAAAATTTTTAACTGGGGTTAGCTTACACTTTCAGAGGTTTAGTCCATGATCATTATTGTGGGAAGCCTGGTGGCATGCAGGCAGACATGATGTTGGAGGTGTAGCAGAGTATTCTACATCTGTATCTGCAGGCAGCAGGAAGTGAGAGACGGGCTGGGTTTGAGCATTTGAAACCCCAAAGACCACGCCCAATGACAAACTTCCTCTGACAAAACCATACCTCCTAATCCCTGTCAAGTAGAGGGACTCTCTAAAGACCAATCAAGCATTTAAATATATGAGATTATGGGGGCCATTTTTATTAAAACCACCCATTCCACTCCCAAGTCCCCATAGGCTTGCAAATGTGTCATAATGCAAAAAAATGTATTAAATTCAACTTCATAAGACCCCATAATCTACAACAGTCTCAACATGGTTTAAAAGTCCAAAGTCTCTTCTGGGGCTCATGGCAATCTCTTCAATGTAACCCTTTGTAAAATCAAAATAAAAAAGCAGATCACATACAATGGCATGGAATATACATTACCATTTCGAAAGGGAGGCAAGGAAGAATAATTCTGGACCAAAGGAATATAAACCAGCAAGGCAATCTCCCAATTCTACATCACCATGTTTGATGTCAAAGCTCTTCAGATATCCCTTTTCATCTTTGATGACTACAACACATTTCTCTTTGGGGCTGCTCTCCCTTTTATCATTTTTTTTCTTGACAGGTATCCCACATTCTGGTATCTCCATCTTGGGGTCTCCAAAGCAATAAAGGCTTCACATCCCAGTTTCATGTAAAGCATTTCTGGACCTCCATGGAGGGATATCACTCACACTCATCTGGCCTCAACAACTTTTCCTAGCTGTAGAGGGAGACATCACAACCCCTTTCCTGTATCCTGGACTTGAAAAGTCAGATCCATATGGTCAAAGCTGCCAAGTTCTGCTGCTTGCAGAAGGTAGAATTGGGGCCCCTCCTCCAATTACATTTACATCAACTTTCTTTTTGATCATTTCCTTTATTCCTTAAGCTTTTAATTTCTTTTTACAAGTTGGAAACTTTGATGGAAGAGTTATGCACTGAGGTCACCACTTCATTTATTATCTTTAGCATCATTTTTTAAACATTTTATCTCCTTCAGCACTAGACTCAGGGTCTACATTATACTTCCTGGTGCTCCTTTTCTCCTCAAACTGTACATTTCCTTACTCAGCTTGTTACTTTTCATTAGAGAACTGCATTAGAATGCTCACAAATCATGAGACAGAGTCAATAATTTCTGATGATGTCATTAATTCAAACTTCTTCAATTTAGTCTCTGGAAGACTTTTAGGGCAGGGGAAGAAAACAGCCACATTGCTTGCCAAAATATCACAAGAACAGACTCTAGGCCACTTACTAATATCCTTCCTCTCTGAAACTTATGAGCTGAGCTTCCACATTTCAAATCACCCTCAGCACTGTCTCTTATGTTCCTACTAGGATGGCCCATTAAGACCTACTTTAATATATGTCTCTTTTCTAGTTCAAGGTTCCCAAATCTTCCATATTCCCCAAAACATTGTGAGGCCTGTAATAGCAATACTCCAATCCCAGGTACCAGCCTCTGTCTTAGCCGAAGTTCAATTTTTGTAAGAGACACCATGTCCATGACTAATCTTAAAAGAAAAGCATTTAATTGGAGTTTGTCTCTAGTTTCAGAGGTTTAGTGCATTATCATCATGGTGGGGAAGCATGGCAGCATGCAGGCAGACAAGGTGCTGTAGAAGTTCTATACTAGGATCTGCAGGCAGCAAGAACAGAGAGCCATGGGGCTTGGCTTGGGTTTTTGAAACTTCAAAGCGCACCCCTAGTGACACTTCTTCTAGAATGCCACAACTCCTTATCCTTTCAAATACTGTGCCTCCCTGAAAAAACATTGAAATTTATAAGCCTGGGGAGCCCATTGTTTGGTAAACCTAACCATCTGGTTTATACGCCTATGCATTGTGGAAGAAAATATCCCAAGATGTGAGACTTTTGGTTGAGAATATTATTGAATGCTGTAATTATAACTTATGGAAACTTCTAGTGTGAACACAGATGTCAGCAATGCTGAGAAAAAAATGCAAAGTATGGAAGCATAGCTCTTGAGATTTCATAAGAAAGCAGGACTCCATTACCAACTATGCTAGAGGCCATTTATGTGATATATTGGCAAAGAATCTAGCTGATTTCTGGCCCTCGCCAAGAATTTGCTTGACATTGCATTAAGAATGAATGGACTGATTTCTGTGGGAGTCTTCAAAATAGCACATTATTTTGTGGCATTGTTATTACTGATTACTTGTGAGTCTGCAATAAAAAACAACATCCAACACAGAAAGAAGCAATCTGGCCAGGCGGTGGTGGTGAACGCCTTTAATCCCAGCACTCAGGAGGCAGAGGCAGGCGGATCTCTGTGAGTTCGAGGCCAGCCTGGGCTACCAAATGAGTCCCAGGAATGGCGCAAAGCTACACAGAGAAACCCTGTCACGGAAAGAAAAAAAAAAGCAATCTGGAGAGCAAAACAGTGCAGGGAAGTATAAGACTACAATCAAGGACAATATTGAAAAGATAATTGTTAAAATGATTAGCACTGTATGTAGGAGCTTCAGGCTGTAACAATAAGATGACCTGAGGGCAGAACTCCAAGAGCTAAGGCTCCTTATGAGTGGAGCAACCTTAGTATTCTTCTGTCCCAACAAACCAAACAGGGAGGTTTTTCACCAGCTTGTGTACACAGAAGCTGCTGCAGCAACTGACCCAATGAAGGAAGGCTTCATCCCAAGCTGGTGGAAAACTTAGGAGTGTTTTCCAGTTCCTACTGGTTTAGGGCAGAAAGGATACAACATTGAAGTGAATCCATGAGGGGATCAATAAGAAAAGTTTCCCACAGGCTCAGGTATTTGATCACTTGCTTCCCAGTTAGGGATAGTATTTGTGAATGTTGTGGAACCTTACTAGAGAAATATGTAACTGGGAGTAGTGCTTTGAGGTTTGATAGCACAACACAACGTCCTATTATGCTTCCTGTTCATGAAATGTGGCATTTGCTGACTCCTACACCTTCCCTGTCATGATGGACTATATTCTTCTCTGAAAACTGTAAAATAAACTTTCTTCCCTAACTTGCTTTTTGTTGAGGTATTCTATCATAACAGAAAAGCAATTAATCATCTCCATTTAGAAATTCAAATATATTTCTATCCATGCTACTTCATGTAGTTCAATTTCATGTGTACTAAATAGTGCTAAAATTCTGTTGTTGTTTTTTTGAAATAATTGCCTTCATGATTCTAACAGTACTGTTGTTTTTAAATTTTATTGATGCGGATAGTCAACCAGAGTGAAGACTTCACAGTTCATATCAACCAATGGAATGTCTGAAGTATTGCACAACTATGAAGAGAAGCTTCAAGTGTACAGGCATATACACAAAACATGTCACTTTACTTTGGCAGTTTGCACTATGTGTCTTTCTTGACGTCCATTATACCCACATAAGTTTCCTAGGGGCATGGACTGAATAAGTTCACTGAAAAGTGATTATTGATTCCTAAAATGTTATGGTGTTTGATTTCATATAAAAAATATAGAAACCTCAACATTAAGAGCTTCACGCCATTTTTTTTTTTCATTTCCCATGAGTGAGCACTGTACTGATACACAAAGAGACTATACAGACAGAAGAATATAAAAATACATTTGCAGGAATGTAAAGGTTTTACTCTCATTAACTGAAAATTAGATAAATGATACATTTTAAATAAAACAATGGCAAAGCTCAACAACTGTAGTTAAATATTATCCTTAAGAAAGCTTTTGTGTATTTTTACTTTTGGTGCTGTCAAGGATTTAACACACAGCCTCACATGTGGAACACAAGTGAAGCCTATGAAGCCAGCACCTACACTTTGATTTTTTGGGTTAAATTTTCCATTCTAACAATGTTTCTCACTTCAAATTAAAAATGTAAGAATAACTGTTTATTATTTGCTATGTGAAATCTCTTGTCATTCAATGTAGTTGGTCACGATGTCTTCTGTATTTTACTAAACAATCCATTCCCCACTAGCCTATTATCCTTACTTCATAAAACATGTAGTATCTTAATTCCTTTCCCATTGAATCGCAAAGAGAGCCCCGATCAGATACAATAAACTTGATAGCTTTATGTTGCAATTTTACATTATGCCATGCCTTTCATATGATAAGTGTTCTCGTTAGACCTTGTCAACTTGACACCTACTAGAGTTACCTGGGAAGAGGGACCCTTAAGGAAATTCCTCCATCAGGCTGAACTCTGGGTATGTCTGACTATCATTTTATTTATGACTAGTCTGGGAGGGCCTAGGCCACTCTGGGCAGTACCACCCCTCGTTAGATGGTCCTGGGTTATATAACAGAAGCTAAATCATGAAAAGCAAATGAACAGGCATCCTTTCTCTATTGTCTACCTTAGTTCCTGCCTCCAGGTTCCTACTATAGCCTCTACCCTGGCTTTTGATTGACTAAAATCCATAATGAAATAAACCCTTTCCTCAAGTTGGCTTTGGTCGTGGGGTTTATCGCAGCAACTAAAACAAATTAGGGCAATAACTCAGGCAATATTTAACTTAAAAGGTGGAGTAATACTCAGAAATTAGACAGACATGCTCATTTCCTACTGTGACCCTTCACTTCATTTTCTCAGAGGCTGCAATAAAAAGCCCCTGAGGTAAGCATTCTAGCAACAGAAAGTTGAGGCTGACAATTATAAATGGCAGCCTTTGCAAAGAAACACAACAAAATTAATAATTTATAACCTGAAGGCAACCAGGTGTATCAAAATTGTCTTCCAACTTCCATATATATGTTTTAATTTATTTTGATTTTTAGTTGTTTTTTAACAATTATTCTGTACACTGTAACAAAGCTATGGAAATAGATTTATTACTCTGATAAACCCTTCACAATAATGGTCATTAAGCACCTTCCTTAGTAAGTGCCAAGTGGACAATTTCATGAGCGATGTGTATTTTGGTATTTCTAGAGGTGGGAGTCATGTAATAAAGCATGTGCTGTACATGAATGAAATGGCTTCTTAATATATGTCTATAAAAGCTTGACTTCTTTTAAAATTTAAGTTCTTCCTATACATCATAGGTGGCTGATGGTCTCACAACAGCCTGACAAGTATTGTGTGGTTTACATGCATACCACCACATCCAGTGATATACTTGAACTCTTGATGGGTGTTTTTTCTATCATTAAAAATAGTATTTTCTTAAGATTGCATTCCTGGATATGTGCAAGTGAACTGTGGCTGAAGACATTGCTATATTCATTCATGTTTCTGTCCAATATGAAGTCTCCGATGACTTGCAAGGTTGGAACTTCGACTAAAGACTTTGCCACACTCACTACATGTGTAAGGTTTTTCTCCAGTATGGATTGCCTGATGAGTAGTCAAGCTTGAACGCACACTAAAGGCTTTACCACATTTATTACACCTGTAAGGTTTTTCTCCAGTATGAGTCCTACGGTGACTTGCTAGGTGTGAATTTTGAGTGAAAACTTTACCACATTCATTGCACTTGTAAGGTTTTTCTCCAGTATGGATTGCCTGATGAGTAGTCAGACTTGAGTACACACTGAAGGCTTTGCCACACTCATTACACTTGTAAGGTTTCTCTCCTGTATGGGTTCTGCGATGATTAGCCAAGTGTGAATTTTGAGTAAAGACCTTGCCACATTCCAGACATTTATAGGGTTTTTGCCCACTATGGATTACTTGATGTGTATTTAGGTTTGAATGTGAATTAAAGGCTTTTCCACACTCATTGCACCTGTAAGGTTTCTCCCCAGTATGAATTCTCTGATGAATTGCAAGACTTGAAGTCTGACTAAAGACCTTGCCACATTCATTACATTTGTAAGGTTTTTCTCCAGTATGGATTACCTGATGGGAAGTTAGGCTTGAACGCACACTAAAAGCTTTGCCACATTCATTGCATTTGTAAGGCTTCTCTCCAGTATGAACCCTCCAATGTCTTGCAAGATTTGAAGTCTGACTGAAGACTTTGCCACATTCTTCACACTTGTAAGGTTTCTCCCCACTGTGGACTCCACGATGACTTGCAAGATGTGAATTTTGAGTAAAGACCTTGCCACATTCATCACACTTGTAAGGTTTTTCTCCAGTATGGATTGCCTGATGGGTAGTGAGGCTGGAATACACACTAAAGGCCTTTCCACACTCATTACACTTGTATGGTTTCTCTCCTGTATGTATTCTCCAATGATTTGCAAGGTGTGAATTCTGAGTAAAGACCTTACCACACTCTGAACATTTGTAGGGTTTTTCTCCAGTATGGATTATCTGATGTGTATTTAGGTTTGAATGTGAACTAAAGACTTTTCCACACTCGTTGCACCTGTAAGGTTTCTCTCCAGTATGAGTTCTCCGATGAATCGCAAGGCTTGAAGTTTGACTGAAGACCTTGCCACACTCATTACATTTGTAAGGTTTTTCTCCAGTATGAATTACCTGATGATTAGTTAGGTTTGAACGAACACTAAAGGCTTTGCCACATTCGTTACACTTGTACGGTTTCTCACCAGTATGAACTCTCCGATGACTTGTAAGGTGTGAATTCTGTGTGAAAACCTTGCCACATTCATTACATTTGTAAGGTTTTGCTCCAGTATGATGCCTCTCGTGTACCAAAAGATAAGAACGTCGAAAAAAAGCCTTACCACATTCAACACATTTGTAAAGTTTCTCTCCAGTATGAGTTTGCTGATGATGTGCCAGAGAAGAAGTATAACTGAAGACCTTGCCACACTCATTACATTGATAAGGTTTTTCCTTAATGTGTGCTTTCTGTTTTTTCATAAGTAGTGAACAATAAATATCATCATCATATTCATGAACAATGTGTGCTTTGACACCAGTGAGAGGAATTCTTTGAGATAATAAAATTGAAGAAACACTGGTAATAGACTTAACTTCATTATCATCAATATTCTCTGCAGATGGAAATGGCTGCAGTTCAAGTAGGTTCCTTATGCATTTTCCTGTCTTCTTCCTACTATCTTGATGTTTACTATGGGTGGATTTATACTTCCTTTCACTGTCTTTCCACCGAAACTCAAAATCCTGTATGTTCTTCTGGATTCCTCTGAAGAAAAAGTCTTCAATGTCACTGCTTTTATATCTTTCTGACACCATTTTCTGGTCTATTTCTCCTGAATCGCCACTCTCTTTTGGTGGTAAATCTTTAATTATATGTTCAGGAGAGTTGACTAGAAGATATAACAGGTTTCTGATTAATTACAAAAAGATATTCCACAGTGAAAAAAATTTCAGCAAAAATAACATTTACTGTGTTGACTTTATCAATTTTATGTACCAAAAAGACAATGTAAGCATCTTAAAAAGAATGATCCTATAATTAAGAACAGATGATTATATGTAATTTAAATAATCAGAAGAGTCATAGTTTCAAATAATCTATGACCAGATTATTCATACTGAATAAGATTTCATGAATCAGTAAAAGAGCATTTTCCATCATGTCCTAAAGGTACATACTAATTGCCAAAAAGGCTGTAATGCAACTGAAGGAGAAAAGGGGACATAACAGCATATTCTGTGTAAACACACACTAAAATATCAAAAAATACATTAAAATAGAAGATAACATTAGTTCATTTATATAATGAATTAACTGGCAATTTTGAATGCAAAGCAATAGAAAAAAAGAGGAAAGTTCACAAAAAACAGTACCAGCAAAAACAATGCAATAATCTCTTATAAACTTACCTATACCCATTCATGACAATCATTTTTTCAACATTAACAAGCAGTGCATGTCAGTTATACTGCACAACACACACAGAAAACAATCACCTGTTGGGCTTAGAAAATATTATAAAACATTTGTAACATTCTATGATAAAATAACCAGGCAAATCACAAATACATAAGCTCATAAATTGCTACATGTAGGAGCTAGAGAAATGGTTTAGTGGTTAAGAGTATATACTACCCTTGCAGTGGAGTTGACTTGAGTTCCCAGCACCCACACTGGACAATTCACAACCACCTAAAATACCAGCTCCATGATACCCAACACTTTTACCTGAACTCTGCAGGTGTGTAGGCACCTGAACACATGTGCATACACACACACTCCCAGTACACAATGCACATATACACATAATTAAAAAATGTGGATTAAAAATAAAATGCCATGTTGTATAATGATAAACACTTTCCTACTAAGAATAAACAGGGGTTTCTATTACAAAAATAGTACAAAATAAAATAAACATAACATTTAGCCATGCTATGCCTGTGTTTGTGTATGCAAGAAAGAAATGAAGTCACTGTATAGAAAACATAACTGTATAACCATGATTATGATAGTAAGGCTCACAATAGCCTAGACATGGAATCAGCCTTCCTGTTCATCAACAGATGAATAAAGAAAATGGTGCATACATCTACATATTAGAGTATTATTCAGTCTCAAAGAATAAATGGAATACTATTACTCATTAGAAAAACTGACAGAACTGGAAATCACTGTTAAGCAAACTAAATCAAACACAAAGACAAATGCAGCACATTCTGTCTTACATATGGAAAATTTTCTAAAAAGGCTGAACAAAAAATTCATAAAGTAGAAGAGGGTCTATCCGTCAAGGGAAGGAGAAAAGGATGATAGAAAACCAGAGGGTGAGCATTATCAAGGCACAAAGTAAACATATATGGAATGTTTACCCTCTCCCACTAATTTAGACAAGCAGTATGTCAGTATGTTGCAGAATTTTGTTTACACTGTGTGAAGATGTGTCACTGTGGCTGGTTTAATAAAGAGCTGGATGGCCAACAGCTAGGCAGGAAAAAATAGACAGAACGCTCAGGGAGAGAGAGAGAAGCAGGGGATGCCAGCAACTCTAAAGAAGTCAGACACAGGGTACAGAGCAAAGGTAACATGAGCCATGTGACAGAATGTACATTGACAGGTTAATTTAAGTTAGAAGAGCTAGTTGGGAAAAGGCCTAAGCTAAAGCCAAGCTTTCATAACTAATAAGTCTCCATGTCATTCATTATTTGAGGGTTGACAACCCAAATATAGTCTGACAAGAAAGCATTTGGCACCCAATGTCCAGCAAGTAAATCGACATATGGAATACCTATATAAGTTGAAAGTTGAAAACAAATAAATGTTTTAAACTTGGCTTTCTTGTGACTATGGTCTATCAGGTAGGCTCACTTCTCAAGGTGTACAAAGGCAAGGCTCCTTTAAAAGGGCCCGCTGTACAGCAGAGCACTTGGGCAGCCATCTCGCTAGGTAGCCATCTTGGTCTCAGCAACTTTCCAGAGATGGGATGATGAAGAGTGGCTGGGATGGTTAGGCCAAAGGAGGAAGAGACAGCCACCAGGCCATGTGCAGAGCTTAGCAGGTTAAGGTTTGGCTCATGCAGTCAAAGAAGCCTGTGCAGACATGCAGAAAGTCAGATCCTGGCCAAGAAAACCTCCGAACAGGTTACACTGTGCTTGAAATGTGCTTAGGTGATAAAGAAAAAAAAAAAAGGAGGGGGGCACAGAAAGTCCTAATAAAATCAATCAATCAGTAAATCATTTAAAAATAATAAAGTGAAGTCTTTAACGAAAAAATAAAGTAATAATAATAAAAAAGTAACATAAGGATGGGAAATACACAGGGCACTTGGAACCTCCAATGATGCTTTGCTGACTTCAAAATTTTTGAATGCTGATGCACAAAAGGCAAATGCTGGAGAGACACTGGGTTGTTAAAAACAAACAAAACAACAACTGCAATATTAAACCAGCCTATATATTTTAAGAATGTGTTAACTTCAAAATGGAAGTCAGGAAATATGCTACATTCGTGGAGAGGTCATGCTTTCCTTTCCACATGAAACAAAAAGCTTTGGATCTCTTCAAAATTAATGAAGATCATATTTGTTTGGCAGAAACCTCCTGAAAAATCTTGGCTACATAAGTGAAAAAAAAAAAGAAAGAAAGAAAGAAAGAAAGGAAAAACTACAAGACAGTTAATGTATATTCTGCGTGGGAAACTCTGAGGAATCTACAAAGATAACTCCAGCTAAGACTTCTAGCAATAGTGGAGAGAGTGCCTGAACTGGCCATCTTCTGTGACTAGACTGTTGACCCCTAACTGTTATCAGAGAGTCTTAATCCAGTAACTGATGGAAATGGATGCAAAGATCCACAGCCGCACACTGAGCCGTGCACTGGGAATCCTGAGAAAGGAAGGAAGGATTGTACAAGCCAGGGAAGTAAAAGTTGTCATAAGGGAACCCACAGAAACAACTGATCTGGGCTCACAGGTACTCACAGACCCTGGACCAGCAGCTTGGGTGGCTGCATAGAACCAATGTAGGCTGTAAGGATTATGTCTTTATTATGTCACCAGCCTGAGACATAGTCCCAGCCTAAAAAGCAGGCGTGCCCTTTCACGGGACTCTTCTCTCTCTCTCCTTGTATTCCCTCTGTACTTCCCCTCAGTGCTGTCTGTCTCTGTCTGTCCGTCCCCCACCCCACGCTCTCTCTCTCCTTTCTCCTAATAAAACTCTAAAGAGGTAACCATGGCTTGTGATTCTTCTGCCACTGCAGCATCTAGCACTCTCTTCTGTCACTGTGGCCAATGCAGGTGGCAGCCAGCCATGAGTACTACCATTATAAACCCTTCACAGGCCTTCACATGTGTAATACTTGTATAGCTTCATCTATTTGTGGAATTCCTAGCAGGGGGATCAGGGCCTGTCTTTAATGCTTGATCTAGCTATTGAGAACCTATTCCCCATACTGGTTTCCCTCACCAAGCCTCAATACAAAGGGAGGAGCTTAGTCCTATCTTAACTTGATATGCCATGCTTTATTGACACCCATGAGAGGCCTGACCCTTTCTGAACATAAACAGTGGAGGAGTGGATGAGGGGCAGAATGAGGATAGAGGGAGGGAACAGAAGGAGAAGGAAGTAAAATTATGATCAGGATGTAAATAATTTAATAAAATGAAGAAAATGTAAGCTAGTAGTTCATCATCGATAACAAACTTGTAGTCATGTTACGTATGTTCTCAAGGTTAAACAGGTACAGTTTAGATAGACAGGTGGTCTTCAAACACTTCAGAGACCTACAGAGTATAGTATTTTTAGATGTTTTAATAACATAAGGCTTTTCATGACAATGAGACACATCTGCTCCTGGAAGCACCAATTTATTTCAAAAAAGGATGATGGGCACCAAAGAACCTCCATATGGAGTTTACTTTCATTGTGGCAAAGTTAGCTAATGGGCAAAAAACTGCCATAGCCTGGACTGCTAAAAGTATACCATCCAAATTGGACAAACAGAATACAAAATGTGGTGACTGATGAACTTTGCCAAACAAAAATAGGTAAGTCTTTCAAAAATTCCTGCTTCAGAAAAAAGTCTGTCATATTCTAGCCCTTTGGGCCAAAGATGGATGCCCCAATGTTGCAGAGGACCCATGGGTAAGTGTCTAGGCAGTCAGTTTTCTGTCATTTTTAGTTTGGGAAGTTATTTGCTCTACATTTCCTGTTTACTCAGGTAACATTATATCCTTCTTGGGTTTCTGATGGAACTGAAGAATATATAGTTACAGTTATTCAGTTTTCCTTGTTATCAAATTCAGAAAAAAAAATCTGCATAAGAAAAGTTAAGTTTATAACATTAACAAATATAAAAACTTAAGTTGTTTATCTATGAAGATGTTTTAAGGTCTAAAAAGATACATTTAGGATGGTAAAACATGCTATGATAGAAAATGGTTTGTGTATAATACTTTGGACTCACTAAGAATAGGATAGATACTACAGTACGTTCTCCAAATTTGCCAGATACATATGGACTGGACATTGAAAATGTTAATTCTTTTTTGTTGTTGTTTTTAGAGACAGGGTTTCTCTGTGTAACAGTCCTGGCTCTCCTGATACTTTGTAGACCAGACTGGCCTTGAATCACAGAGATCCACCTGCCTCTACCTCCTGAGTGCTGAGATTAAAAGCATGTGCCACCACACCTGGCAAAAATGTTAATTATCTGATGATTGTTCTTATTACACACACACACACACACACACACACACACACACACACACACAGAGTTTTACTGTGTTAGAGTTAAACTCTTTCTTGTTTACTTAGACAAAAACGGAGAACTGTTGCGGAATATTTATTTACACTGTGTGAAGATGTGTCACTGTGGTTAGTTTATTAAGAAGCTGAATGGCCAATAGCCAGGCAGGAGAGAATTGGGACGTCACAGGAGAGAGAGAGAATTGTGGAAAGATGTGGGGGAAGGGCAACACCAGCGAGACTCTGAAGATGTCGGACATATGGTACAAAGCAGAGGTAACTGAGTCATGTGACAGAATGTAGATTAATAGAAACAGGTTAATACAAATTGTAAGAGCTTAGGTGGGAAAAAGTCTAAGCTATGGCCAAGCTTTCATAATTAAAATAAGTATCTGTGTTATTACTTACTAACAGACAGTCCAAGGAAAGACCGACTACATTAATGATTAGTGTACAAAGTAATTTTACTTTATATATATATATGTATATATATATATATATATATACACACACATATAGTATATATATATATGTGTACATACTATATATGTATATAACAAAGTGATAACAAGACTGAAACATATTTTGATGTGTATGTATGTATGTGTGTGTATAAGGAAGTGACAATGAAGCTGAAACATATGATCACACCCATCACTTCAAAATTTGTACCCACTGTCCCTGCTCTTATTAAAACGTTCATCTGGTCTCACTGACAAGTAACTCACTAATATCTTTGACCCACTGGTAACTATCTTTACACTCTGTGCTTCTAGTTTAATTGAAGTGAATTCTAAATGTGAGTGAAAACTCATATATATGGGTTGAGAGATATAGACATGGCATTAGCCTACATGTATGTCAACAGATGAATGGAAAAAGAAAATACATAGATATACACAATGAAGAATAAAATTCCAAAAGAATGAATTCCTGTCATTCAAAGCAAAGTGGACAGAACTAGGAGGTACTGTGTCAAAGAAAACCACATGTGACAATTACCTTTTTAGTTTGTCTGGTAAGATATCCTCCAGGCTGACAGACATTGTAACAAACAGAAGGTTCTTCTTTTGAAGGACAAATACAGTTCATATAAAATGAGCATACACACACACAGATGCTACTGGTAATGGACATGGTGGTGTACTACATAACTTAGCCATTAAGAATAATGTCACAAGAGCAATATAGCCATCACACATACATGTCATCTTTAGTCTTCAGGATGTATAATCAAAAGCTGAGTTGCTTGATTGATTATATAGTAACTCTCCTTTTATTTTTTCTGATGTATCTATAATCAGTTCTTATCAATGAGTCCCAATCTAGACTGCCACCAACAGAGAACAGGATTTCCCTTTCCACCACATCCAGAGCAAGGCTCACCTTTTCTACAACAGCTATCTTAGGAAGTGAAGGTGATAACTCACATTGGAGAAAACTGGCATTTTTACATAACAGTAATGTTGATCTTCCTTTCATATATTTTTATTCAGTAAATGTGTTTTAATGTTGGGCATGGCAATGTGCACCTCTAGTCATCTACTGAGGAGTCTGACTGGCCTGTGCAATGCTTGTCTCAAAAAAAAGGAAGAATAAATAAAAGGTGGTAGAATGAAAAGAATAACCACATCTCTAATGGGTTGTGAGCCTGGTAGAGTCCGAGCTCAGCTAGCCCCTGAGCATAAGCACTACATCTTGCTCATCACACACACACACACACACACACACACACACACACACACACACACACACACACGTCCATCCCCATTTTTAAGTTGGCTGTTTTCCTGCTTGTTTGTTTCAGGTTTCACATCTTGGCTATTAATTCACTGTTGGATATATGGTATGCAAACTCCTCCACAATCAGAGGGAAATACCTGATGCTAAGTAATAAAAGCCTGTTCACTTAGTTCTTCTCAGTCAGTGATGGGAGATTTCATAATGGTGACAGTAAGTATGGAAGAAGGAACATAATGAGTCAGAGGAAACAAAACAGATGCTGCTACTGTATCATCCAGGAACTCAGCTTTTGAGTGTAGATCTAGATTACTGAAGATTACATGTCTTACATGTCTATGGAATGCCTGTACTATTCTTTGTGCTTTTCTTAGTAGCAAAATTATTTAATTAACCTATATATACATCACCAGCTGACTCTGTGTGTGTATGTGTGTATTCTATAAGTTTTATTTGTGTGTGTGTGTATTCTATAAGTTTTATTTGTCCCTCAGAAAAAAAGGAAGTTCTAATTGCAACATCTATCAGTCTAGAGAATGTTTTACTAGACAAAATGAACTAAGCAGAGAACTATTATGTGCTGCTTTCTTTGCTAGTCTAATTGTTTCATTTTTTAATTTTCATTTTCATTTGGACAGAGTCTCACTATATAACCCTGACTAGCCTGGAATTCAGTTATGTACATCAGGCTGGTCTCAAACTCATAAAGACCCACCTGCCTCTGCCTCTCAAGTGTTAGGATTAAAGGCATGTACCAACAGGCCCAGCTTAGACTAATTATTTCATAACAGCTCTGTTTTACTAATACAGTATTACGTTCAGCATTAATTCCTCTAAGGGTAGCACATCCAGTCACCTACTTCCAACTAGATTCACTTCTTCAAAGCTCAACGTCAGGCAAGCATGGAGGCAAACATGTAATCTCCTCACTTGTCAGGCTGACACAAGAAAAATGAGAGTTCCATGCCAGCGTGGTCTGCAGAGATAAACATTGCCACCCATCCTCGTCCCACACAGAATGTTTTGAAACAATTCACATTGCCACAGGGAGTCAACCATTTAACCATGACCTTTTGGTACAAACACAAAATGTATCTGAATTATAGCACTTCTGTCAAAACTTAATTAACTGACCATCAATGGTAGCTCATACATCTAATCCCAGAACTTGGAAGGCTGAGGCAGGATGCTTACCAAGAGTTTATGGCCAGCCTGGGCTACACAGTGAGTTTCAGATTAGCCTGAACTAAAGAGTGAGACATGACCTCTAACATATACAAGAAACAAGATTAAAAACAATCAAGACTACCTGGACACCATTGGTATGTTATGTTAAAGAGAGATAGTTAAAGGCTAAATTTTTGTACCTGTAAAGAATAGTGACAGATTTTGTTTCCCATAGAAACCTTGTACTTGCCATTACGCAGTGGTGCAGCCTCCACTCTGCCCTCTGAGAGCTTACCTGCACTCATAGCTCTGATGTATTCCTGTCCATTTGATTTTCTGGTTATTATTGCCTCACTCTCCACAGTCCAGGGCCCTTTCTGTTGTTCCAACATAGACATAGCATTCAAATTAGGACGTGTGACTCCTGTTTATAAAAAGACAGTAACACCATGTACTGAGGATATTATAGAATGTATATCCTATGCTAATGTGAGGAGAGAGCATGTTTCATATGAATCTAGAAAAATACTTCACAAACTCCAGGAATTTCATGGGTCTAGTTATCTACTAAGAACTACTGAATCAAAAGCTTAGGGAAAGAAAGCAAAGAATTAGATATAGTGGGACTCTAGTAGTCTTTTGTATCTAAGGTAAACACAGAAGGTAATAGTTTTTTCTCACTATATTTAGGGCAACAGTAGAAAATGTATTAGTGTTTGTTGAAGGTACCTAGACCTTGAAGAAATCACAGTAGAGAACAGTGACTGTTTTCTATGACTTACAGAGTTGTTTTTCTAAAGAGGTTTTCTATCCATTGCATGATTTTAGTCATAGACACTTGGAGGTCTTGAATTATTAGGTACTACAAACAGTACACAATAAGGATTAAAGGTTT